TCCAGGTCGCGAAAACAGCTTACGCACGCCGTCGGCCTTGCTTCCCGCCGCTCCTCCCGCCGGCGCCGCCCCTCTCCGGCGAAGTGAAAACTTCCGGCCACCCTCTAGGAGTACTCCACATTCGATTTTAGGTATTTTTTTTAAGTTTAGGGATTTATTTTGCAAGTTTTAGAGAAATTAGGGTTTAGTTTTTTTTTATTTTTTTGGAATGTATTTGATTTTTTGCTTTAGGAGACATGGTTAGAGGTAAAGAAAAGACGAATACGTCATTGCGGAGGGACCCTTCTTGGAAGTATAGTGTACAAGTTGACATTGGCGGCGGCGAGAAGAGCTATGTATATTTAAAGTGCAACTTTTGTGAGAAAGTTGTGAAGGGTGGAGTAACCCGCATGAAGGAGCACTTATCATGCTTACAAGAACGTAGCACCTTGTGCAAAAGTGCCGGACAATGTGAAGGAAGAAATATGTGCTTACATGAAGAAAACTACCACTGTCAAACACTTACAACAGCAGCAATTTGATGAAAGGGTCGACCAAGGTGCCTATTTTGGGAGCGAGAGTGGAAAGGGCTCCTCCTCCACTATACATAATAGAGGTGCACGGGGTCCTATGGATCAGTACATGACTACTGAAGGAGCAGATAGAGGAGAAGCAGATATAATCCCTGCAGGTGGTACTAGAGAGGGGCGGCGACAGGTTTGCATGGACATTGGGAGGTTTTTTTTTGAAAATGCAATACCTTTTAATGTTGCTACATCGCCTGCCTACTTCAGTATGATGCGGTCTGTAGGATTGTATGGAAGAGGGTTGAAAGCACCTTCTATGTATGAGTTGCGCACTTGGATTTTAAAAGAGGAGTTGCAGAACACCGAGCGAACCATTGGTATATGTTCTCTGCCAGTCTGCCTGATAATGAGTGGTTCATCTAATTAATATGCTAATAATCTTTTCTTTTAATGAACAGGGAAGAGAAAAGTGAGTCATGTTGAAGATGAAGATGACATGGCATTCATAGATACAATTGGAGAAGAAGATTCACTTGAAGACTGATATTTTGTGATGGGATATGACTTCATTTTATATGTTTTTTGTATTTTGGGAGTTTTGTTAAACTAATATTTTGTGATTTTGTACTTTGGGACATAATTTTATTGCATCTACTTTCTTATTTTCCAATATTGCTATTATTTTCCTGCTAAAATCCTTAATTTTTCATTTACGCAATTCTATCTTCGTGAGGCTTACGCCTCAGACCGCCTCGAGGCTTACGCCTCGCCTCACGGACGAAAACCGCCTCGAGGCGCAGTTACGCAATTTTAAACCTTGTCACAAACCACAATCACTTTTATAAGAAACCACAATATAACATCTCACTTACCGCTCAGGAATTAAGCTTACACAACCCTAGCGTGCTCCCCGATTCCTTCCTTCTCCCAATCATTCAATTCCTACAATAGCATTTCTATCAGTTCCTGTTTGCACCACTTGGGCACTCACCGCTCACTTGTCACTCAAGTGACAAACTTTCACAAGTTACTCTTCCTGTTGAAAGCGATGAATCCTTCTTAGTTCTCTAATGAGCTTCTAGTTATTTATTTCCCTCAACCTAGTTATTATGATTTACTATTGAATGCTTTAATATTTCTTCTCTTTTTTTTTTCCAAATGTAAAAATTATTTTATCCTAAGATTTTTTTTCTTAATATTTTAAGTTTTTACAATAAAATAATTGTGTTGTTGATTTTAAATAATAATATTTAATTCACAATAATCTAATAATATTAAGATCCTTTTATTGTATAATAAAAAAATGACTTCTGAATTAGTTACTAATATATTTGGTGATAATCTCATAAAGGATGACAACAAGTCTTCACGTTATTGTGTCACCAAATTAGTAAAATACAAGCAATAGCAGTAGGAAGATATCTGAAGCTCAAATGTCAATTTTATCAAAGAAAGCATAAGGGCGCATATTCTAGCATGAGATGATTTGTGGGGTGGTATTCAAATATGCTAAAAATTAAAATCCATAATAACTGAATAGTTGCAACAAATAGATGCAAAGGTTGAGCAAAAGAGAAAGAATATCAATTCCAAGGGACAATATTATGATCATCTTTACATTACACTGATACAAAAGAAGTTATTATGGGGTAAGTTAAGAGTGAAGGAGATACAAATTGAGACATAATATGCTCATACTTTTTGGACTCCCTGTTTTATTCTCAAATTGAATATTACATTAAAGATTGTAGTTCAAGGAATGCCACTGCAAGAAAAACAAGAATTTTTGACGAATTTTTCGGCAAAATAATCTTCATCGAAAATGAAGACAAATTTGTGGTGGAAATTTTCACAATAAATTTTAGTGACTTTTCGTGCGAATTTGTAGCAAAAAATAGGCCGCAAATCAGCCACAAGTTGACCTTGTATAATTGATTCATTTTCCATACGGTCAGTTGTTTTCTCTATTCTTCAACTTCCCTCTCTACCCTTTATCTCCTCTTCGACTACGCTGCCCTTTCCTGGCTATTCATTACTCTTCGACTTCGCCCCACAGGTTCGTAGCCCAAACTCCTCGCCTTAGCCTCCGCCGGTTTGTCACATTCGCCTCTCTCGATGGTTTATCTTTGAGCCGCACGCGACCTTTTTT